CCCATTGTTTCTCACCGGCACCTGGGATCGAACCCAGGACCACAGGATCACAAGTCCAAGTGTGCTGTCCGCTCGGCCGACCGGCTCCCCAATCGCTATAACAAGTTGAAGAAACATGTCAATATTCCAGGACTTATTATAGAGTTGCAGAGATATAAACAATTCCTTCAAGTTCCAGGAAGCCGGTCGGCCGAGCGGACAGCACACTGGACTTGTGATCCTTTGGTCCCGGGTTCGATCCCGGGCGCCGGCGAGAAACAATGGGCATAGTTTCTTTCACCCTATGCCCCTGTTACCTAGCAGTAAAATAGGTACCTGGGTGTTAGTCAGCTGACACGGGTTGCTTCCTGGGGGTGGAGACCTGGTCGAGGACCGTGCCGCGGGGACACTAAAGCCCCGAAATCATCTCAAGATAACCTCAAGATAACCTCCACTGTTATCTAGTAAGAATTACTGTGGACAGCAAGGAAGGGCTATCAAAGTGATCTCAATAATAAGAAAGGGTGTAAAATGTAGACAATACAGTCTTACAAATGAATTAGTGTATAATTAAGAACTAAATTATATACGCAACATAGCAAGTTATACACTACACACAGAAATCACAATAGCGTGATGCATCAAATGAACAAATCCACAAGGGCCGTGACGAGGATTTGAACCTACGTCCGAGAGCATCCCACGACCCTGCCTTAATCGACTGAACTACGACATGGTTAAAAGAATTGCAACTAGAAGTTAGCAAGTTATACACAGATTAAAAAAAAAACATTGACGAATAATGTGCCGGATATGGCGTGTTTATGACGTCACAGATCATTACCAACAGCAAAAGGTAAGAATTCTTCCTTCCTGGGAGTAAAATGCCCTCCCTCGTCCAAGAAGTGGCTAGGGTTAAACTCCTCAGGCTTCTCCCACAGCTGCGGGTCTTTGAGACAGCTCTCCAAACTAGTCACTATCACCGTGTCCTGCGGGATTAATAATGACATCATAGTGAGTATAATAACAATATAACCAATCATAATAATAACATTTTATATAGTGATCAATTTATTGAACAGTAAATCTGATAAATACATTGACAAAAATAACATTACTTTGTTTTATAATTGACCAGCAACAATTTAGAAAGGAACAGTTAGTCTTCACCGCCTCACTTTGGACGCTATCAACAGCAGACTCCCTCAAAAGGTTTTTACTACAATATAAATTGAGATATTAAATTTGTATGTGTGGCCAGAATATTGATCCTCTCGCTCAGTAGATTAGGTGGCGTTTCTCTAAGTTCTAATGCTTACATGGAGTCAAGATATTTTAACGTTAGATCACCAGATTCGGCAGATTCGGCAGATTCGGCAAGAATAAACATATCCATACGCAGGCGATTAGTCACAATAACGTGGCTAAAGTATGTTGACAATACCACACACTAGAAGGTGAAGGGACGACAACGTTTCGGTCCGTCCTGGACCATTCTCAAGTCGATTGACCATTCTCACAATCGACTTCAGAATGGTCCAGGACGGACCGAAACGTCGTCTTCCCTTCACCTTCTAGTATGTGGTCAGGTCAACATAAACATATCCACTTCCCTCTGATGTGGGTCTTCCAGAAAAAACGTATTTAAAGACATAAATATAAATATAATTTGATAGTTTATACTTGATACTTGATACTATTTGATACAAATAATATTATATTTGATACTAATAACCTGAATGGACACTCTTAGTTAATAACACTTGGTTATTTACGCTTACTAAACGTCAAATTCGTTAGTGTAAATGTGTAACGAAGCCACACTAACTGCTATAGTCCGAATTATCCAAAAGTATGTTGACCAGACCACACACTAGAAAGTGAAGGGACGACGACGTTTCGGTCCGTCCTGGACCATTCTCAAGTCGAGTGTGATAGGCTTTCTTCTGATAGTTCCGCCCTGATATGCGGGGGTCTTAGGGACTCACCTTTGGGATGCTGTATTCTCCGATCTGCGTGTCTTGGCTGGCACAGTGTGCCACTCCCAATGGTGCCAGTGCAACGATGCGATGAACCTCGTTGATGACCGCTTGCAGGTACGGCAACCTGTTAATGGGGTTTTAGATTCAGGTACTGGGAACAAAATGTTGCAAGTAGCACGGGCTATGGTGAGCCCGTAGTGGACTGACCTGGCACTGGAGTAGGGTAAGTAGCACGGGCTATGGTGAGCCCGTTGTGGACTTACCTGGCACAGGAGAGGGGCAAGTAGCAAGGGCTATGGTGGACCCGTAGTGGACTGACCTGGCACACGAGTAGGGTAAGTAGCACGGGCTATGGTGAGCCCGTTGTGGACTTACCTGGCACAGGAGCGGGGCAAGTAGCACGGGCTATGGTGAGCCCGTAGTGGACTTACCTGGCACAGGAGCGGGGCAAGTAGCACGGGCTATGGTGAGCCCGTAGTGGACTTACCTGGCACAGGAGCGGGGCAAGTAGCACGGGCTATGGTGAGCCCGTAGTGGACTTACCTGGCACAGGAGCGGGGCAAGTAGCACGGGCTATGGTGAGCCCGTAGTGGACCTACCTGGCACAGGAGCGGGGCAAGTAGCACGGGCTATGGTGAGCCCGTTGTGGACTTACCTGGCACAGGAGCGGGGCAAGTAGCACGGGCTATGGTGAGCCCGTAGTGGACTGACCTGGCACAGGAGCGGAGCTGTGACTGTGAATGTGGTAGGCTCTACCACATTCACAGTTATAGTTACAGCCCAGTTCTTGTGTCAGGTAAGTCCACTACGGGTTCACCATAGCCCGTGCTACTTGCAACTTTTGGTTCCCAGTAGCTGAATTATATGAGCAGGCTGCTGACCAAACCACACACACTAGAAGGTGAAGGGACAACGACGTTTCGGTCCGTCCTGGACCATTCTCAAGTCGATTGATAATATAGTATTATCAATCGACCGTTAGCGTTTAGATTAATGTACTATATTATCAATCAATTGACTTGATTTATCGACTTGAGAATGGTCCAGGACGGACCGAAACGTCGTCGTCCCTTCACCTTCTAGTGTGTGGTCTGGTCAACATACTTCAGCCACGTTATTGTGACTCATTATCTGCACATGAGCAGGTTATATGGGCAACAGGTGTGTGAGACACAAGACACATGGAACAGAAATACATGAAGGATACATAATGCAACATGTTGACAGACACTGACTACAATAGAAGGAAGTGATGAAGGGTTGAACTCAATGTGTCCATCACAGCGATGACTGAATGAAGTCAGTGTTCGCTATTGTGAACAACGATTACATGACGTCATTGTTCACCACACTGATGATTGGACGAAATCAGAGCGTCCTTCCCAACATAATAAATATACATCATATGATTTGACCAATCACTGAAGCTCCCAATCATTCGAACCCTCGAGTCTCAGCCTCAAAGCTGTCGCAGGCTAGCCAACCGTCTTTCCCCCGACCCACATTAGGTAACTCACTTGTCCTTGTCGAGCAGAGAAGGCAGAGTGCCTCTGGGCACGGCCGCGTCAATCTCCCTCTGTGTTCTAGCCTGAACGTCGGGGTATTTGGCCAAGTAGAGGACAGCCCAGTGGAGAGTGGCCCAAATGGTCTCGCTGCCAGAGAGAAACAGTTCTATTGTCACCACTGCCAGGTCCTTCCCTGAGAGAGGAATCGGAAACTCTTGGCCCAAATACATACGATTACAGACAAAATTGAATCTACAATGCTTATAAATTTAACAATTAGATGCGTTTAGAATACGAATTTTCTCATATATATGCATTAAATAAAAATATACAAAATGGAAGTGCATATGCTTCAATAATATCCTGAAGTAACTTACAGCTCATGTGGGAATCAGGGCTGTCAGCCTCCTTCTGCATCTCCATCAGATAGAGACCCATCAGGTCTCTGGGTTGGGATGGGTCGATCTTAGCCGCGTGGTCCTCTATGAATGGCTGTCATAGATAATAATAACAGTAACTGCTTAAAAAATAATTATCCCCAATTGCAATTAATTTACAATGGGTTGTATAGCGATGTTTTTAACTAGTTCAGTGCATATGTGTAATTACTATGTAATGGTTGTAGTCTCTCCACTCAGAATATAGGTGTTGGAGAGGTGACCAATCCACCGGTTAGCAGTTAACAGTTAAAGTTAATGGTAGTTAACGGTTAAAGCATTAAACGACCGGTGGATCGTTCAATGCTTCGCCTGATTTGTATAATATTCTTTATTTCATGTTGGCCTTAAGATTTTATATTAATTTTTTTGCAGTTTTAGTGTGGTTTGAAGTGTTAGGTTAAAGATTTTTGCAATGTATTCGATTACCTTCACTAATTACTAATTTCTGCAACGAATACTAGGCCAATGAATTTATTCTTGTGTCTACCCAACCTGTCTTCGACTCAAGTCCATTCCATCCAGCGGTCGGGCCCACAGACGCATTCATAAATTTTTACATGCTGTTCATTCAAAACGGGAATTTTCTCATATATAAATTATTATAATATATTAGCATATTGTGCATATATAGGCATCGGTTAGGTTTGGTTAGGTGTTTAGGTTCTGTAGGGACTATTTCAATAGTCCCTAGTGTGTCCCTAGGGACACACTAGGGACTATTTCTCCCATTTACAAACTTACCATTATAAAATCAGTGATTTTTTCGACATTGTACAGCAACCTATTGGCTCCCAATTTCTCCATAAGGAAATTGGGAGCGACTGTGATCAACCAGGGTAGGGCGTTGAAGAGGGCGACTCGGCCTTGCAAGCTGCTTCTCATCTCACTCATCAGACGGGAGAAATTCTGGAGGCCGGCGTCCCACAGGTCGAAACGGGTCCCTGGAAGACGTAGTATATATATTGATGAGGGGCGTTGTTGTTATTAATACTTTTGTCGATATATTTGGATTACGGTTTTGCCTAATTGTGGGAAATTCAGTTGGGTCTTATGGTGGGGGATGTTGCTCATATTTACTGCCATTCAGAACATATGTTGAAGATGCTGTTCATATTTACTGCCACTCAGAACATATGCTGTTCATATTTACTGCCACTCAGAACATATGCTGTTCATATTTACTGCCACTCAGAACATATGCTGTTCATATTTACTGCCACTCACAACATATGCTGTTCATATTTACTGCCACTCAGAACATATGCTGAAGATGCTGTTCATATTTACTGCCACTCAGAACATACACTGAAGATGCTGTTCATATTTACTGCCACTCAGAACATACGTTGAAGATGCTGTTCATATTTACTGCCACTCAGAACATATGCTGCTGAAGATGCTGTTCATATTTACTGCCACTCAGAACATATGCTGAAGATGCTGTTCATATTTATTGCCACTCAGAACATATGCTGAAGATGCTGTTCATATTTACTGCCACTCAGAACATATGCTGAAGATGCTGTTCATATTTACTGCCACTCAGAACATACACTGAAGATGCTGTTCATATTTACTGCCACTCAGAACATATGCTGAAGATGCTGTTCATATTTACTGCCACTCAGAACATATGCTGAAGATGCTGTTCATATTTACTGCCACTCAGAACATATGCTGAAGATGCTGTTCATATTTACTGCCACTCAGAACATACACTGAAGATGCTGTTCATATTTACTGCCACTCAGAACATATGCTGAAGATGCTGTTCATATTTATTGCCACTCAGAACAGAGAATCATATTAAGACATGAGGTTTAAATTGTAGATTTTAAACACACATTTAACAAGGCTAGAATATATTACCTCAGATATAATACATGTTTTAACATGTATTAAATCTGAGGTAATACATCACACCAACGTGATGTATATATGTGGGAAAATCAATTTGAACACTAAGGGGACTCGATCCAGCGACCAAGTTACTCTCAGAGATCAGGTATTGTGTCTTTTTAACCATATTTCCTGTGTTTCTTCTTTCCTTTAAGGTTGACCAGTCCAGCAACGAGAAGGCCTGGTCGAGGACCGGGCCGCGGAGACGCTAAGCCCCGAAATCATCTCAAGGTAACCTCAAGATTAGGTAGAACTAATTCTCTTCATCTATTCTCATAACTTAACGCTCCAACTTCTGACACAAATCTTCTTCTTGCAAACTTCGGCACTTTTTCACTTTAATCTTTTATGTTTCACAAGATGCGGATGCCTGGCCGGTGCTGCATACAGGTTTAAGATCGTGTAGATTATCGTGAACAAAATCACGATTTGGATCCCTAAAAGATTTTCTAATAAAAGATAGAGTTTCGACCTCACAAACGTGGGGTCCACGGTTCGAGTCTTCAAGAGATTTAATGTAAGATTTTCTAATGTTTTCCAGCGTTGCATATGCCGACAATGCTAACAGGTTCGTGTGTTCCTCTGGTCTTAGAGATGGAATTGTATACACGTTTATATATCTTCCATTCCAATTCGTGTGGTTTTCTCTCCCTTATTGTGTACATGTACTCACCTAGTCGTGCTTGCATGGGGGGTTGAGCTCTGGCTCATTGGTACCGCCTCGGGGAACTCTGGGACAATGTCTGTGTCTCTGGGTGTACTCACCTAGTTGCACTCGCCTAGTTATGCTTGCAGGGTCGAGCATTTGCTCTTAGTTGCAGTAGTTAATATACTGACTCTTTTTCACTCATTTCTCGTATCCTATATCTAGAGCTAGGGAACAATAATCATAACAAATCAGATTTAACATAGCATTGAAAGGCTATGTAAGAGAAAATTCTGCTAGGGTACCAGATTTCCGAAAAGCTGATTTAGATGGTTTAATAGTTTTTTTTTGTGAAGGCTGACCTAAAAAATGAGAGGCGGGCTGTTCTTAGCCTCATGTGGAGGCTATGTGAGGCTAGAAGTCATGTCACCCACCCTGTGGGTGACATGACCTGGATTATGAGGTGGATGTAAAATATAACTCATATAGAAACTCATGTTCTTGGTAAAACAGGAACGGATTATACCATTTAAAAGAAAATAATAGATGGGATAAATACAAGCCATTAAAATGTATTAACACAAAATAGATCTCTAAACATTACATATAAATTCTATAAGTTTAGATTTAGGAAAGACCTGGGTATATACTGATTGGAAAACAGTTCCTGATTTATGGAACAAATTACTGGATATTATAATGGAATTATTGGGTTGCTTAGGTTAGAAATATATATTAATGAGTTTAGGATAAAGTAAATAGGAGCTACTTCATATATGTGGCTGCTTTAGCCACGTTCTACTAACAACTACCATCACCACTATCACCCACCTGCAGTAAATTTCCAGATAACATTGATGGTAGCCATCCTGCAGGAGAGAGGCAGAGGCTGGGGCGTTCTGACGTGTTCCTTCAAGTCCTCCACCAAGTAGGTCGCTTCTTGCTGTATGTCTGTCTCCAACGCCAAGTCTCGTAGCTGGTGGAGAAAAAGCTTGCGATTCCTCTTCCAATATTGTCCATTGGTGAAAATGAGTCCACCTGTCGTGAGAGAGAGAGAGAGAGCAAAGACTAATACAATTACATTCAATCCTTGTAAGTAAATCCTTGAAATGTACAAGTGGATGATTGGACATTACATGGGGTATATTAATAAGGTTATTAAATATATCAACTCAAAATAACACACGAAACAATGGATATAAATCCGACTCATTTAGATTTATGAAAGACCTGGATAAATACTGGTCTGGAAACAAGGTTGTTCACTTGTTGAACAAATTACCGATTAACATAATAGACGTGGGATAACTGAACAGTTTCAAGCGCAGGTTAGATATATATATATATATATATATATATATATATATATATATATATATATATATATATATATATATATATATATATATATATATATATATATATATATATATATATATATATATGTGTGTATATCACGAAAATAAACACGTGATTAAGAATGTGACAATGTCAGACCACGGAGGAAAAATGAAACAGGAAATTTCCTTAAGTACTTTCGTATATTAAATACATCTTCAGAAGGTCACCTTCTGAAGATGTATTTAATATACGAAAGTACTTAAGGAAATTTCCTGTTTCATTTTTCCTCCGTGGTCTGACATTGTCATATATATATATATATATATATATATATATATATATATATATATATATATATATATATATATATATATATTGTGTTCCTCACGTGTGCCCCAAAGAATGAGGTGATTTGATAAAATGCTATGCCCAAGATTACCATCCGAGTGCCGGCGGGGAAGTGGTTCATATAGCCTCGGCTATCACTTCCTTATGTCCGGTCGTGATGGTCAAGCGGATTAAGGCGTCCCTGTACATACCAGTTGTGGGAGTATGGGTTCGAGTCACTTCTGGGGTGTGAGTTTTCAGTTGTATATAGTCCTGGGGACCATTCAGGCTTGTTTGCATTTGTGTTCCTCACGTGTGCCCCAAAGAATGAGGTGATTTGATAAAATGCTATGCCCAAGATTACCATCCGAGTGCCGGCGGGGAAGTGGTTCATATAGCCTCGGCTATCACTTCCTTATGTCCGGTCGTGATGGTCAAGCGGATTAAGGCGTCCCTGTACATACCAGTTGTGGGAGTATGGGTTCGAGTCACTTCTGGGGTGTGAGTTTTCAGTTGTATATAGTCCTGGGGACCATTCAGGCTTGTTTGCATATATATATATATATATATATATATATATATATATATATATATATATATATATATATATATATATATATACTATATATACTATATACGTGCAAACAAGCCTGAATGGTCCCCAGGACTATATACAACTGAAAACTCACACCCCAGAAGTGACTCGAACCCAAGTTCGAGTCACTTCTGGGGTGTGAGTTTTCAGTTATATACTATATACATATATATATACTATATACATATATATATATATACTATATACATATATATATATATATATATATATATATATATATACTATATACATATATATATATATATATATATATATATATATATATATATATATATATATATATGTATATAGTATAAACTAACCATACATGTATCACTAATCAGGCATATATCACAGTCCAGTCCGTCCTCCTAAGGTCTGCCAAGGTCAAGAAAACGGTCAATTTAAAGTGGTCTCCCCCTAACCTACCAGAGGACCCAAAACAGAAAACGGGACAATGCGTCACTTTCGCCAGCCGCTTCCATTTTCTAGTACGACAATTTTTTGGCCTTAGGTAACGCATACGTGCGAAATGCGACGTTGTTTGTAAGAAGGCAGGTTCACAGTCCCCACTGTTTGCAAGAAAGTTGCTGGAAACTCACTGGTCGTAAGTCTACAGCAGTATCCACGAACACACAGTAAGTGTAAACCAAAAGCATGAATTTAATCCCTTGATGTATACTTCCCCGTCCTCAATATCCTCTTCACTATGCACTTTAGGGCACAGTTTACATTCAAGAAACCTTTCCTGATGCTCTAGTTTACCATAGAAACTAACCTTTCTCTAAAATGTATCAACCGTGTACTGTGCCTCTCGCATTACCACTACACTGTAAGCTAATTCGGTAACTGTACGGTAGCGCGACAGTCTCGGTACATACAGGTCGGCGTTCAATCCCCGACCGTCTACAAGTGGTTGGGCACCATTCCTTCCCCCTGTCCCATCCCAAATCCTTATCCTGACCCCTTCCAAGTGCTATATAGTCGTAATGGCTTGGCGCTCTCTCCTGATAGTTCCGTTCCCTTCATATCTCAAAAATGTCCCAAATTTTCCAGAGTTCCCGCCCTCCATATCTCATATGCAAGTTCAAATTTACCGCGACAAAAAAAAATTGGGTAGTAGAGGAGAGGAAATAGATCAGTCAGCCATCGTGTACCACCACTTTCTTTGGCTCGTCCCACACGGGCTCACGAACGACGAGCCACAGGAAGCATATCCGAATATGCTAGAATTATCTCACGAACGTCAACACTCTCCAACATCCCAGACATTCAAACGTGTTCTTTTACAACTAGCTTCCTACGTTGTATGTCAGCCGTCTAAGTTAACTAGTTCACTGACGTTCGTACCGCTGAGCCGACTGATATGAGCGCTGACGGGCGTAATAGGTCTTTATTATTTGCGTAATAGGTCTTTATTGCTTACGAAATAGGTCTTTATTGCTTGCAAAATTGGTCTTTATTACTTGCGTAATACGTAACTTACCGGTCTTAGTGCCACCGCTGAACACATCGTAGGTAAATAGGTCAGGGCGGTCGACGAACTCGGGCCGGGTGAGGACGGTCTTGACCAAGTCGTTATTACACAAGAACACGAAGATGCGACACCCTATACGCCAGCTTGGGATTAAAACAACGGTATTAAAACGTAAAAAAAACTATATTTATTATATTAAATCCCTGAACTAATAATCCTAAAAATCTAATAATAATAATATATTTGTTCACAGCAATCACACTGAAAAATATCCTTGTATAACTAATCTAAAATGAAATTTAAACATTAGGCGAAATATATTTTCTTTTTTATGGAATGCAAATTTCCGTGAGCTTCTAAGCTGTATTGGTCAAAAGTTGCCATTTGCTAAAGTATCTTATAAAGAAAATTTTACAAGTATATCTAAGATAATGCAAGTGTATTTAAGCAATTGGTTGCTTGAGGGACAACTTACTCTAGGAAGCAGCATGTTTCTAACTTTAATGAAAAGGTTAGAAACATCTCATATTCTAAGTTCTGCTTCTGATGCTCAAAAAACAGCCAAAACTTTGAATATTCATCATACATTTGATGCATTCATTTGGTATCATACATACATAATGTCACTGAATATTATATATATATATATTAATATATTTTGGAAGAAATATGATAAATTTCTTTTGTCTTACCTGATAATGTCTCCGTAGATGGCGCGGAGTTTATTGACTTGATCAGACAAGCGCTCACTGGAGGAAGGGAGGCAGCCAATCACAGGCCATCCCCACACACCTACCAACACACAACTGATTAGGGCATCCGCTCTCACACATCTGACGAAGGCAAGCATCCTTACACACCACTGATTGTACCAGTTACAGCCCCGCTCCTGTGCCAGGTAAGTCCTCTATGGGCTCACCATAGCCCGTGCTACTTGGAACTTTTTTTATAAAGTTCCAAGTAGCTGAATATAAAACAACACTTGATTAGGATACCCTTTCCCCCTCTCTACTCAGATTAGGACCCCTCTCTCTCTCACCTTATTAAACAAGCTCCCTTCATTTATTTTGCATAAATATGCACATATGCACGCTGATTAATATGTTTTGTGTGTGTATGGGGGACGAGCGGAGCTTGTGTAGACGATACAACTACACAACCATTCTAATTCGGGATATATATATATATATATATATATATATATATATATATATATATATATATATATATATATATATATATATATATATATATATATATATATATATATATATATATATATATGACAGACTGATGGATGCCTACTACTACTTGTAAAAAGCCAGGTATGAATATTACAAAGGACTCACCTGGCGGCAGTTTCGAGGGCTTCCTGGTGGTCAAGAAAAGGCAACCGGTCAAGAGGAGAATCCCCAGCAGTAACTCCATCAACATTCTGATGCAGTCTGTCGAGTCGTAGCTAATTCTAATCTCACAGCTCGCGCTGGCTATCTGCGCTCTATATTTCCCCTCTTCAGCGCCAGTTGCCAAGGTGCTGTGCCCACTCAATCTCACATCAACATTATCTCCAAACAATCCGCTGCGTTATAGTGCGGGAGCTGTATACGTGAGTTAATGACGATTCTTCACCATTTGAGAATATTGGTGTATTGTAAATATGTGTGTATAGATGAAGAGGATATAACCTATAAAGGATGTGAATGTTGCGTGCTGAACCTTGGCAACCCACACTGCTGACGAGCCGGTGGCCTTGGTGCCTTATCATCAATATATACAGGATATAAACATACATCAAATATATAAAATATATAAACATTAATATAAACATACAAGAGTGTATGTTTTTAGTTGTTGGTAGAAAGAATAATAATACTTTGAATTATTATGTAAAGTATAATGATAAAGAGACTGACATTGGTGATGAAGTTAGCAGTTAAACATATAATTATTTTACATTTTAATCATATTAAAATAGTTAATTTATAGGACATTTCCCCCCATCCAGTGCAGACAAAAAATATATATATATAAAAAGCTACAAATGTCAGAGTGAGAACAAAAATCTGATTCTGTCATTGACATTAGTTTCAAACACAGATGTAACATTTTACGCATTCCATGCGGCCAAAATTGCAGTAGGGTAATTAATATAATGTTATTGTTACTGTATAGTAATACATATGGCTTGGAGAAATTTATTACTGTGACAGTTTCTATATATATATATATATATATATATATATATATATATATATATATATATATATATATATATATATATATATATATATATATATATATATATATATATATAAATAAAAAAACTAAAATCACATGTGGATTGCTTCAAGAATTTGTAACTTTCTTACATCTTGGGTTTTGTCTATTATACAAGTGTTTTTATTCAACATCAAAACCCAAGATGTAAGAAGATTACAAATTTTTGAAGCAATCCACATAAAAGTAGAACAACTCACTATAAATACTCAAATTACGGAACTATTCACTCTACCCACCGTGAGAGTAAGAACAATACTGGAACGTGAAGATGCCAACATAGAAGACACTGCTCGATAAGCAGTGCCCACTGTTTGTCGAGCAGTGGGCAGCAAACAGACAATCGACTTGAGAATGGTCCAGGACAGACCGAAACGTCGTCGTCCCTTTACCTTCTAGTGTGTGGTCTGGTCAACAAAGTGCCCACTATGCTTGATTAATCTTTGTATGTACTCTATTTAACCTTCTGCTCCTTAGCCTCTTTTCTCCTTCATGTCTACCCATTGTACACCCTTTGTGTACACCTGATCCCATTGTTCGATCCATTTGTATTCACCTGACCCATTATTAGTATAAAATATAATATTCTGTACTGTAACATCACTTGAGAATGAACCATGTAGGTTCTAAACGCCGTGCGATTTTATAATTAGTGTAATACATTCTTCAGTTAATCAATTCTTTTTCCTCACCTTGAAAACGAACATGACTTTTGGTGAACTCTTCCATCTGAACCCTGATGCAAGAGCACTAGTAAGACGGATTGAAGCCCTAAATCAGAAAATAGTAAATATGGAATATTCTGTCATATTCAATGAGACATGCATAAAAGAAAACGTGCTGCCAGTATACACCAATATATATATATATATATATATATATATATATATATATATATATATATATATATATATATATATATATATATATATATATATATATATATATAACTTTTTAACACTCAACCCACCAGGAGACTCGAACCCTGGCCCACAGAGTGGCAGGTACACACTGTATCCATTGCACCATACTTCAAAGCCAAAAGAGAGGTAGGAATTCTGGGGTATTTAACCCACAGAATTCCATTCTCTCCCAGGCAATGAGATGATGAAGGACCTCTGGTGTTCTTTAATCGAGCCCTGTTATGTGGGAAAACTCGGTGTAAATGCTCAATGCACAGACTTGCCTATATAACTCGCAAGCTGAAGTTTATAACTATATATATATATATATATATATATATATATATATATATATATATATATATATATATATATATATATATATATATATATATATATATATATATATATATATATATATATATATATATATATATCTGTATATTTAATATTTGAATGTCCTTTATTTTAATCATACACAAAAAAAAACAGTATTCCCATTCATATTTCCATCGTATTAACATACCAAATAGTCCAACACATAACTATGCAAATACACACACATACTCATATTTACAATTAAATCATTAATAATCATTTACGAACCATTACACTCTTAACTGTCAGCTTCACTGCCTAAATGATGCAACGATAATTCTAGCGTGTACGTCTATTTCAACAGCATGTCGATCATCCATCACCATTACGTTAACATTTGCGTGGGGCAGAATTAATGATGTTTAATGAAACCAAATGATATTAATAGTTGTTTGCGTTAAACGTCGATAGCTTGTTTTAAAGTGACTACATGTTTTGGGATTGAATTTTCAAATAATTCATTTTTTATTAAGCGTAAAATTCCTAAAAAATAAATATGGGGTACTAGGTAAAATTAGCATGAAATACACAGTCGGCCTTTATGTTAAATCTGTGTGAAATTATTAACTATGTCCGTATAACGAATAACGTGAAATCAGTGATTAACTCACATTTTTTACCTAAATGCATCACACACACACACACACACACACACACACACACACACACACACACACACACACACACACACACACACACGTGTAATTACCTAAGTGTAGTTACAGAATGAGAGCTACGCTCGTGGTGTCCCGTCTTCCCAGCACTCTTTGTCATATAACGCTTTGAAACTACTGACGGTCTTGGCCTCCACCACCTTCTCACCTAACTTGTTCCAACCGTCTACCACTCTGTTTGCGAAAGTGAATTTTCTTATATTTCTTTGTGTGTGTGTGTGTGTAAAAAACAAAGTGTTTGTGGCTGTAATTTGCAATCTGTCAGAGATCCACACAAGACCCGTCTTGAATATAAAAATGCTAAGAGACCTTAAATAAATTTCATCTAAAGTAGTGGCTGATATATTCCTTAGAGAGCTAACCTGTTAGTCATGAGAAATTTTAGTCATAGACAAATCGACTAAAAAGCATTGTATCTGAGAGGGAGAGAAAAGACATGGAGAATGAAACTGATCGAAGTAATAGGAAGGAAATTTCTAATGACACATGTTAGGGAGGAAACACAGGATAGAGGGGAAGACTAACCAACGAGCCTAAACCTAGTTTTCCCCCAAGAAAAAGATGAAAAATAATTCCCATGCTTTAACACACAACGCTTAAAGTAAAAAAGAATAGGTAAAAGGGCATAAAAGAATAGATAAAAGGGGAGAGGGAGGCAGAATATCCAGCTCATATCTCACCTGCTAACCTAGTCAACATCGCCTGGATAATTCCTAACTTCCTCTTATCCTAGTCGGTTATTGTAAATGCACTTCATTCACCTTCTATGATTGAGTGCTCAATAACCCAATATTATCAAATATCTCTAAGCCTGGCTTTGAAAAGCAGATCAAAATACATGTACGCTCGTTAGCATTGTACAATTCTATGGTCACGTCTGTGGTATAAAAAAAAAGGAACATCAAATACTCGCAAAAAAAAATTGAAATATAATTTTCGTAAAATAGTTTAGGCATTGAAAATACCAACGCATTGTCATGTGGGAAATCACTATATATACCTCTGGTGTCGTGATGGTGGCACTCCACGCCTCATTTACCCTCTCATTTAAAATCAATTAGATGATTCGTGCCTCACTACCTCTAATTACCAGCATAAAGTATCAGGCTACCTGTTGACATAATAAATTAGAACGTGGATGAGCTGATGAGAATAATTAAAGCACAGAAAATGAGAGAAATGAAATGATCGAGGGATAACTGAGTCAAAATGAATCTCAAGAGAGTCCAGCAGTCAGATAAGCCTCAGACTTCTATTAAACCGTTCTAGTAGAGGACAGTTTGGCAGCTCGGCTAGTACTCTCCAGGTATGTTATACCAGCCTCTCCAGGTATGTTGTACCAGCCTCTCCAGGTATGTTATACCAGCCTCTCCAGGTATGTTATACCAGCCTCTCCAGGTATGTTGTACCAGCCTCTCCAGGTATGTTGTACCAGCCTCTCCAGGTATGTTATACCAGCCTCTCCAGGTATGTTATACCAGCCTCTCCAGGAAAGGTACTCACCTCTCGTGGGTGCATTTTATATTTCAAAGGGAGATTATTTTAAGTATTTATAAAAGAAATACAAAACGTACAAAAAAGGACATGAAAACAATAAACAAACATGTAACAAGAAACAGAAATAGAAAACTGTTGTAGAAGTAGAAAAGAAAACCACATACAAGTAGAAAATGAAGTAGAAAACCACATAACACACAAAGCCCAGCACTTTGTATAGTAAATAGAACAGAAAACACGAACAGGAATAGAGCAAAAAGTGCAGAAAAAAACACATAAAACACACACCAAGACAAGCCATACCGGGCACAGGGGAAATACAGGATACACCGAAAAACACACTGACCGGGTGAGACACACCAGACCCACACACATGCACACATAGTGGAAAAAACGACACACACAGGAACCGGGAAACAAAGCCACAACCACAAACACACATGAAAGAAAAACCCGGAACACGCAGGAACCTGCAAAACACAAAACACACACACACACACAACACAGACACGAGAAAGCACATCCACCCACCTAACAGCCGAAGTAACACAGGAAACAACATATAAATCGCAAAAAGAAAAACTATAGCACAGTATAATCAAAACACAACGCACTGACAGGTACGACGGCCAATGAACCCGGTAACACCACCAGGGCGGCAGACGGGAGAACACCTCACCCACCGTATCATCACAAGGCGACAGGTCCGTGGCCACCAACGGGTGAAAATCCTCTTCCCGAAACAAATTCACAGGAACCG